GTTACCTTCCACTTCACTGGGGAACGACAGCTGAATGTAAATACAGCATGCAGTGGCAGGAAGCAATAGACAGCCTGCTATTGGATATTTTAAATTGCAATAGCCTATAGCAGGCTGGCTATTGCACCCACCCACTGCCTGCTGTCAATCAGCAGAGGAGGGTACTGAAGGAGAAAGTTCTGATTGACAGCAGGCAGTGGGCAGGTGCAATAGCCAGCCTGCTGTAGACTTTTGCAATTTATAATATCCAATTGCAGGCTGGCTATGGCTTCCAGATGCTGTTGGGAGATTTGACACCGGTGTTCTATCAAATGTTGTGATTAGTTTGGAATGTGTGACCGGTGATGCAGTCACACATTCCAATGTAATCCTGCCCAGTTTGACAGCGGTGGAACGCGTGACAGCCCATTAGGTCAAACATTCAATTGCTTTGTCAGCTTTTCCAGGGCAGATCGACTCACTGCGCATGTGCAGAAGAACCGATCTGCATTACCATATCTGCCTGGAAGAGCTGATCGGTCCTCAAATGTCATTTCTATCCGACTTTGTGAGTGCGGTGGAATGTGCGATCTCACATTCCTCAGGCATTACTGCGGAATGTGAGATCGCACATTCCACCGCACTCACAAATTCGGATAGAAGTGACATTTGAGGTGCCTCTGTTGATACAGGCAGGGAGAGCATCAGGGACACAGACCACTGCAGCCAGGTGAGGAATGAAGGTTAGCAGTCATGGGGTTCCAAAAGAGTATTGTGTGAGCACCCCCTCCCCCACATTACAAGACACAAAAATGTTCCTGTTCCAGCAGCACTGAAGTGTACCATAATGGGAGGATACCCTAAAGCCAAAGAACATTGTTGAATGATTGGAAACCAGTGGACAGGGCCTTGTTAATTCCATGTGAGGCGCTCTAGGGAGGACAAATCTGGCTCAGTCAGACTGTGGAGTTGTGGACGACAAGTACAGCCTCTCAGTACCTCAGTCTGCTCAATATGACCTCAGCCACATCAGAGAGGAGAGACAACTTGAGGGCGGAGCTGAGCTGGGTTAGTGACGACTCCAAGGTACCTGCCTGGCCGGCCACACTCCTTCACACTGTGCAGTTTTCGTCTGCTCCCTGCCGGTCCCGGGGCCGGAATAATTTTTTTGTATCCGCCGGTGGCATGGCGTGTAGGCGGCTGCTTCAGCATCAGCTGCCACTGAGTATCGGCGCCGCCGCCAGGTGGCTCTGCCTGGATGAGCAACTATACTGCCTCTGACTGCTACTCTTAAAGTGGACCTTTACCCATATCTTTAAAGTGACATTAAAGTCAAAAATTTCAATAATGTTTTTCCCTCCCCCAATGTTAATGTTAGCACTTACCGTAAATGAGGTTTCTTAATCCCATCTTCCTCTTCTTTCCTGATGTTTTCATCTGTCCCTCCAGCAGTGCGGCCGGCTCTTCGATCCAGCGCTGACTCCTCTCTGCTTGCTGGCACTTGCGATCCCACGGTGTCTGCATGCGGGTGCACGCGTCCATAGACTTACCTTGCGTCTCTGCTCGTCTCCCGGCCGAAAATCCGATGCTTTTGCTCGGGCGGGAGCGCACGGCCAAAACAGGGTAAGTTTAAACTGCTGTTAAAGCTGTTTAAAAAAAAAACAAAAAAAACTTTTTGCCTATATCTACTGTTTGCTAGCAGTAGATATAGGCAAAAAAATTGAAGGGTTTATAAGCCCTTTAACCCTTTCGCTGCCAAGCCCTCCGGAACATTTTTCAAATCAGCTAATGTACACATTTTTTTATTTTTTACATTTTTATTTTTTTACATTTTCTATTTATTTTTCTTTTTTACTGTTGGGGGGGGCTGCGGCAAAATATCTGGGGACATTTACCTTTTGAAATAGAAAAAAAAATTGAGGACATAAGTCCTCAATTTCTTTTTCTGCAGCCCCAGCACTCAGTACAGAGGCTTCTCATTCATTCACAAACTAATGATAGTAAAAATATCTTACTATCACTCCGGTGTTTGCTGTAAACAGAGGGATCGTTAAATATCAATGATATATCCTGAATTGCGGCCAGCAGCCGCTTGCTCCCGGGACCCCCCGCCGGTGATTTTATTACGGATCCCCGCTGCCACAGACCCTACAAGCAGCGGGGATCCATGGAGTCTCTCATCCCTCCCTGGGGTGGCTCCAGGGAGGGATGAGAGACTCTAGATGCTGGCGGCCGGCAGCAGCGGTGCCGGGGGCACCCGGTATTTTCGGTAATAGCTGTCATCAGCGGCTTGTGAGCTATTATTTTGATGGGGACAGTCAGCTGAACAGTTCTGCTATAAGCTTGTGGTCGCTGAATCAACCATGCACTTATAGCAGAACTGTAAATGCCACCGACGTAAGGCATACTGAGCTGGCCAGCCCGGAACACTTTTGTTCCGCCGTATGCCTTATGTTGGTGGCAGCGAAAGGGTTAAAATAACAATAAACACAACTTTAGAAATGTGACAATCTACAAACATATACTTCTAGATAATTGCAAGCTTTGTGCTCTTTGCATACCATGTTTTTCTTTTCTTCCCCAGCCTTCTGACAGTGGCCATGTTTACTAGGGGGAGATTACTAACTCTCCTTTTACTTCCTGGGTTTCTGGCACGCGACTAGACATGTGACTAGGACATGTAACCATGCACATCATCTCAGGGGAGGAAAATGCCTTTCTTGTGAGACTACAGATGAAATATCCTTGCAATGCTCTGCTGATGACAAGGCTGTGTATTGCTTTGCCAAACTGGTAATTTTGCCCTTTCAAAGCCGGAGGTGAATGCTCTGCAAGTGTAAGTATTTCAAAATCATAGCATTTTACACCTAACATGTCTCTGTTATCAATCATCATACATAGAGGGATGCATTGGTAGAATTTGATTTTTGAGTGTAAAGGTCCACTTTAAGAAATTTGGAGTGAGATGTGGTGATTTTTCTACTATGCTGGTCACTATTCAGCTTGCTGGAGGCTCTGAAATCAGCAAGCCAAGTGCTGCTTCTACCAAGATGGCTGCCATGGTAAATCACTGCTGGGGAAAAGATAGGCTAGTGGGGGTCCAGAGGTAATTTTGGTGATTAGACCATTGCCCTCTGCCTGGCTTGTCTTTTGGCACAGCTTCCAGAGATCAGCTCCTCCCTCCCTACCCCTTTTACCCGTAAATCACAGTGCATTCCTCTTCAACCACTTTGCACCCTGGTTCAAAACCCTTCCCCGGCTACCTCATACTCCTGCTTACAGTACCTACCCCACAGTGTATCCCTCCCCAGCCACCTCACCTTCCTTCTTACAGCCCCTTCCCCATGCATCCCTCCCCAGCCACCTCACAGCACCTACATTCCCCCGGCATCCTTCCCTGGCCACCTCAAACTCCTGCTTACAGCTCCTACTCCAAAGTGTATCCCTCTCTGGCCACCTCACCCTCCTGCCCATCTTTTGCACATCCTATGAACACCACCCTGCCACTTTTCTAACAACCAGTTCTGCAGTATAAGTGCCCACTCTGTGCCCTGCCACCTGCACATTTTACTAAGGCTGCAACAACTATTCGATTTAGTTGATTAAAATCGACGATGGAAAACGTTTTCCATCATCGATTAGTCAGCTATCAATTAGATTGCCTGTTGGAGGCTCCACACACGAGCTGCACGCCCCTCTCCTCCCTGTGAGCTTCCTGACTCGCCGCTGCCCGCCAACAATCAAGGGCCCACGATTCAAAGTAAGTCATGTTCTCAATTCTCAGTCACTCAGCAACGAGCGCAGGTCAGCATTCAGCCCATGTCCGGGCCGTGGCCCAGAAAGGCACAGGCAAAGGGCCAGATATGGCAAAGGTCTGCCCTATAGGAACACTGGGGTGATAGATGATTTTGAATATTTGATTCCCCAGACAGTCCTCATCGGCTATGTTCTGCTGCAGACTCCTGAAGTATATCACCCCCAGTGTTCCTATAGGGCAGACCTGGGCATGTGCTGCCATCAAATGTACGTTATTACTGAAAGGAGGGAACCCCTCCACACCACCACCATGGGGAGATTCTAAACCTTTTTAATGTTCCTGTTTTAAAAATATATATAACTGGTCGTGGTATTCTGCAGTGTGCCGCTGTATTATACAGTGGCACACTGCAGAACACCAGCAGCTATAGAGGAACAACAAATCCCAGCCATTATACAGCAGCACAATGCAGAATACCACCAGCTATAAAGGAACAACAAATCCCAGCCATTATACAGCAGCACAATGCAGAATACCACCAGCTATAAAGGAACAACAAATCCCAGCAATAATACATTATACAGGCTGTTTAATGTATTATTGCTGGGATTTGTTGTTCCTCTATAGCTGGTGGCATTCTGCATTGTCCGGCTGTATAATGTATTATTGCTGGGATTTGTTGTTCCTTTATAGCTGGTGGTATTCTGTATTGGTCCTTGTGTATGTTGTAAAGTGGTCACCGCTATAAGCTTGCTCCCGTGATAGACTACAATCTCAATACAAACTAGAATTCCATCACTGGAGCCATTTTTTTAAACTATTTTTATCCGATTAATCGAATTTAATAATCCGCTAACTAATCGATTTTGAAAATAATCGTTAGTTGCAGCCCTACATTTTACTAACTTTCAACAACCAGTGCTAATGTATCAGCACCCCCTCTGTGCCCTATCACTTGCACATTAGAAGCTCAGAATCAGCTCCATCTTGGAGATTTACCCATCCATGAACACGTTTGCTAATTGCTAGTAAGTATAAATGCACACTGTTCTGAAATAGTTTGCACATAGCTCAGGGAAACTACTCATTAACTTGTCTGAGAGATTTGTAAAAAATATATAGCATCATAAAGCCCGAAATGCCCCTTTTTCAGAGCCCCGTCTTTGAGAACAATCCAAGTATCGCATCTGTTCAAATTCAGCATGTGAAGAGCAGTAGCACTCTCCTCCACTCGGTACACGGCGGTACAGTCCGCGGACAGGAAGTGCCACGTGTACTAAGCGCGCATGTGCGGGGCCGCCCCAGGGCCGGGACTCTGCACTTCCTGCTGCCTGAGCTGAATAATTTCATTATTGCTAATATTCTCAGGCCTACACCAGGCGGATCCTGGCGGCTTCCAGCCAGGAAGAAGTCACCATGAGCGGCTGAGTCTCCGGCACACACAGGCCGTCCGTGCACGATCTCCGGTGTGCTGTTCCCCCGTCCTCACTGATCAGTCACTATGTCCAGCGCCAATTACAACTCCCAAAATGGGGGATCCGGGCCGCCCTATTCTAATGGTAAGTGCGGGGTCTCGCAGGCTATAATCCAGCCCGCTGGGGGGGTGTCCTAGAGGTCGGACAAAGGGGGAAAAAACCTTCCTGGGTTGCGTAATGGGTGGCCCTTCCCCCTGAATGGCAGAATACTACCGATTGTGCCCACCCTTCTTTGACAGCAGGGAAGGGGTTAAGTGTGGGGATGTGATAGAGGGAAGTTCGATGGCCTCTGCACTGTGCTGGGGTCAGCTATCACTGATCAGATCATGGCAGACCTTGCTGGATCAGGT